GGTGGTTATGGGAGGGAGGGTGGAGGGGTTGTGTAAGATAGATAAAAAGATTAATATTTACGAAATTCCAGTACAAAAATACTGGAATCCTTTTATCATGGGGATAGAAAGTACAGTATAGGAAATGTAGTTAATGATACTGTAATAGCATTTTATGGTGACAGACTGTGACTACCCTTATTATGGTGAGCACTGAGGGTTGTGTGGAATTGCTGCATAATGTTATACTCTTGAAACTCATAAAGCATTGTATGTTAAATACACCTCAATTAAAATTAATAAAATAGTCATAAAAATGAAACAGTAAAACACTAAAAAATTTTGGGAGCAACTCAAGTGGAACTGCTTAATAACCTTCTCCCATTGTGTTCCAGGGCCAGTGTGTGGACATGGTATACTCCTTGTTTGTAATGTTTTTGAGAATATTTTTCTCTTGCTCCATTTTGAAAACACCTTTGAAGTTTCATATTAGTGAAATACAAACTAACTCATCCCTCACTGAGAGTATTCACTTATCAGTTGGCTACTATCACTTAAAGAGGACACCAGATTAATGATTTTTTTTCAACTTTAAGTCTGCCATTTGGCAATCTACCTAGATATCTTATTATCAGGTCATTGACTCCTTTCTATAATGACTTTTTTAAAATCTTATTTGTCTTTAGCCATATTTTGGACTTTGTTGTCATTCATAATGGAACTATGTCTTAAATCACTAATTTGGTTAAGCAAACTACTAAATATCACATTGTATCAGTCCCCATGGGTGAAATAACTACGACAACAACAGTTTTAAATTTTAACTTATATCTTGTTATTTGCTCTTTACAATCTGAGACTCTAACAACTGTCACTCCTTTGCCCTTATCTCCAACTAGGCTCGCAGAGGTAAGCCTCAACCCAAAGTCAACCTGGCTTCCAACAAACACATCAGGGTCCAAACAACAGCTGAGTGATCTTAAACAAAAGTACACAAACAGGTAGGACGAGGTCACAATAAGTTGATCATATCCTACTCCCTAGATAATTAATTTTGATGCCAAATCCACCTTTGTCTTTAATTAGTTGTCAGTTCCAATTTCCAAAAGGAGTATGAAATGCCTTTGTGATTTTGTTGAATCCTATCCTCACTTCTGTATAGTAGAACGAGCTGATAGCATTATCTCAGAATTGAAAGATGAAATGTAATCCACATCAATTCCCAGATTAAATCTGGCATATTATTTTGACTCCATTTCTTTAAATGCTTATCGGATTCCAATGATCCTCTTTCCCTCTTACAGTAAATACTTTTCCTATTGAATCTGGATATCTCCACATTTTCCCTAGTCACATTCCTTTTTAGCCTCAGGCTACCAGTGATCACTTTGTGTACCACACCCAGATTTTTTATCACTATCGGATACTATCGCAAGACTTCAAACTCACCTAGACAATAAAATCTTCCATCTAACAGAAACACACATAGCCTTTGAACATCACACCTTTTCCCATCTATTCACACAGGTGTTTCTGGGTAATTTTTTGCATGTAGAATTGCTTCCAATTCTTTACAAAACCATTTTCCTCTCCCACTGTGACTGGAATGGTGTGCATTTTCCCCAGACCAAAGAATCCACCCTGCCCAGGAAAACAGTAAATCTGTGTGGATAACTTTTATGAAAAATTCTTAATCCTCACTTTCCACACTCAATCAATGCCTTAGGGCCTCTCATCTCCTAGAAGAGTCTGCTTAACCATCTTATAAATGTCTTCCCATCTCTTATCCCCCCTCTCTTTGTTTTTTTTTTTTTTTAGTCTTCTTCCATCACTTAAAATTTATGTTTGAATTCCCTCTGTGCTTGCTTGTTATTTATTTGTGTTCACACACTCTTGTTGAAAAATCATATTTATCCCCATATTTTCATATATCATCTATATGTTAAAATCTTGCAAAATTTTAACTATAGAGCAGCCACAACTTTAAGCTCCAGAACTGTATAGCCAATTGTCCATTTGATATCACTCTTTTAAGTCTGTCATATGTGTATAAATACTCTTTCTTCTCTCAATATGCAGAGTCTAGTACTTTTGTTACCACTAGATGTGCCCAACAAATGCTAAAGGGAGTCTTTGAGGTTGAAATGAAAGGTGGATAGTAACTATAAGTCATATGAAGCTATAAAGATCTCTAATAAAGAGAAACAGAAAACACGGTATTATAATTTTGGTATTTCACTCTACTTATTATTTATTATTTCTTAAAATGGAAGCATGTTAAAATAATTTTCAATCTATGTGAAATGTAAGTCAGCATTGTGGTGGCATGAAATGTCCCTCCTTCGCACCCCTCTCTTTATTAACGACAATGAGACATTCACACAGACACACAGAGACATACTCTGTGGAAGTGGTTGGATCTGGTACTAAACTCCAAGGGATGTGGGAGAAGCCTCACCAATCTATGCATCTGCTTACAGGTATACAGACTTAGGTATAGGTGTTAGAAAGAGGAAGATTCACCAAATCGTCCCCAAACACTCTGAGATCTATCTGGGAAAATACTAGAGACTGCTGACTTGGACAGATACCCATGGATAAGAAAGAATTTGTAGCCATACAAACTCACCAAAGGGAGATTCCAGAATGCCACAGGAGCAACGTCACCCTGACATCAAAGCCAGATAAGAACACTATAAGAAAAACAAAACTATAAGCCAATGTTTCTGATGAATATAGATGCCGAAGAAGCAAATAGAGACCCAAGAAATAAACTCCTTCATATACAGTTAACTAATATTTGACAAGGGAACCAAGAAAACTAAACAGAGAAAGGATAGTGTCTTCAACAAATGGTGATGGAAAAACTGGGTAGCCGTATAGAACAGAAAAATGAATTTGTACCTCTATCTTCTATCACTCACAAAAATTACATGACATGGATTAAAGATGTAACGTAAGATATGAAACCTTAAAACTTCTACAACAACAACAACAACAACAACAACAAAACATGAAAGAAGCTCCTTGACACTGGTTTTAACAATGACTTTTTGGGATATGACATCAAAGCACAAGTAGCAAAAGTAAAAAATAACAAGTGGGACTACATCCAATTCAAAAGCGTTTGCACAGCAAAAGAAACAATCAGCAAAATAAAAACACAGCCTATGAAATGGAATATAAAACTCAGTAACAACAACAATCTGATCAAGAAAAATGGTACAGGAACTCAACAGAATTTTTCCAAAGAAGGTATCCAAATAGTCAACAGGTAAGTGAAAAGATGGTCACCATTACCAAGCATCAGGGAAATGCAAATCAAAACCACAATGACATGTTGCCTCACACGACCTTAATGTTGGACTAGATATCAAGAAGAAGACAAGAGACAATCAGTGTTGGAGAGAATGTGGAGAAAATGTAACCTTTGTGCACTGTTGGTAAAAGGTAAGTTGGTTCATTTAGTATGGAAAATAGTGTGGAAGTTCCTAAAACAATAAAAAAAAAAAAAAGAAAGAAAGAAAGAAAAAAGAACTACCTTGTGATCCAGTAATCCTACTTTGAGAAATACAGCAAAAGGAGATGGTATCAGTATCTCAAAGAAAAATCTTCACTCCTATATTCACTGAAGCATTATTCACAATAGCTAGGATATGGACACAATCTAAGTGTTTGTCAATGAATGGATGGATAAAGGATGTGTGGTGTTTACATGGGATGGAATATATCTGGACATGGAAAAGAAGACATTTGGAGCATCACTGGTGCTATTATTGAGGGCATTATACTAAATGAAATAACTGAGACAGAAAGATAAACGCTGCATGACATCATTTATATATGGAAGTCTAGAAAAGCTGAATTTATAAAACAGAGTAGATTGGTGACTAACATGGGTGGGATGGGAGGTTAGGGAGATGTTAAAGGATATAAACTTGTAACGGGTAGTAAATAGGGAAAACGAATGCACTAGCATAAGGAAGGGAATCATAAAATATTAGAACCAAGACAAATAAAATAGAGAATGAAGAAAAGAGAACATCAGGGAAGGGTCAGCTCCTAAGATATCATCCTGTCCACCCGTGCTTGGTGTGCCTGGGAGCACGATCCAGGGAGGGTAGGGGACTGCAGTGAGGACAACTTCAGTCCTCACCAATAGCCAGCCCCAGCCCCACAGAGTCTGAAGAGTCCTCTCTGACAGAGGTAGCCTGATCCTGGGCTAGTCCTAGCTTTGTACTTGGCACTCCTTGGTGAGAGGAGAAGCCACGCTCCTTGGACTTACTGTGCATGGTCCCCTAGGAGTCCCTGTTTGTTCTGCAGGGAGGATTGACCCGGGGACTCCCCCGCGGGTCTGCCGTACTCTGGACCAGGCTGTGTGTGGGTAGATGCGACTCTGCTGTCCCCTGAAATAAAGTTGCCTCAAAGTAGGTCAGTGGATGCTCTATTCCTGGTTCTCCTGAGGCCTGCGGCCACAGACACTCACTTGAAGAATGCATGGAACTGGTCAGCTGTAGGGGCTTGTGGATTCAGGTGGACCGGGGCTACGAGCTCCTCCAGCAGTTCTCCAAATGCCTGCTTTCCACGAGGTCCATCTGCTCAGTTTGTACAAGACAAGGAGTTTTGATCTCCAGAGACTCTAGAAAGACCCTGAAGTCATCCGAATACAGAACGTTTCTACCCTGTCTGGTTGTTCAAAAACACTGCTTAGATGCTGTGCCTTAGCTAGTTTTCTGGTTCCGCTCCTGAGACGGCCTTGACCCTACTTGGCCCAGTCCCGGAGGGCTGACATCAGGGACTGCTGCAGCCTTAGTGCACAATGCCAGGAGATGCAAAGGAGCAGGGCATCCTGACAGGAGCGGGGACACCCTTGTGCCGCCTTTTCTGTAAACCCAAGAAGGCTAAGTTCCCGGTTCCTGCTCTCTGCAGCACCAAACCCCAGAGACATTTAGTGCGCCCTTTACTTCTGCGCATGCGCGCTGACCTACCACCCTCGCAAGGCGGTGACTGCGCTTGCGCAGCTGCTGGCCCGCCCTTAAAGGGGCATACACACAGTTGGCGGCCTTCGCTCAGGCGCTCTTGCCCTCCGGTCCCGCCCTGAAGTGGGCGGAGTTTGCGGCCCCCGCGCGGGAGTCCGCTCCTGCGCTCGCCTCGCCGGCCGCCGCGGGCTGCCCCTCCCGGCGGAGGCAGCGCCTGCGTCTGCGCGTCCTGCGCTGGGGCGTCGCCTGTGCGTGGCCGCTGTTTGTGCGGAGGGGCGGCTGCGGGGATGAGGGCACAGTGCTGTGCGACGGCTCCAGCTCACAATGACAGAGCTGAAGGGCGGCCTGTGTGGGGCGGAGACAGGGCTTCCGGGGGACCGCGGCCGAGAGCGTGTTCGGGGCAGGGCGGGGGCGCCCTGGCCGCTGGAGCGGCCGGTGCACCTGGGGTTCCAGAGGTCGGGTCTGCTGCGGCCCGCCCGTGCCCACCCAGAGGCCAGGGGTCAGTCCTCAGTGGCCCCACGGGACTGGGGGGCGTAGGGAGGGGTGCTGGGCGGGGGAGTGATAGTGGGGTGGCCATGCCAAGACCATGATCTAGACGAGGTGGGGTGCGACAGTCGGGTGGCCGCTCCAGGACCGTGACCTACACCAGGTCGGGGTGTGACGGTGGGGTGGACGCGCCAAGACCGTGACCTAGACCAGGGTTAGGTGAACCCGACCCGTGCTTCGTGGGAGAGCCCCGGGAGGAGACCCCTGGGGTGGGCTGGGGCAGACCCTCATCAGGACCCGGGTTCAGAGTGCAGATCCCCTGAGGAGGCGAGGGCAGGAAGGTTGTAGGAGAGAGCCTTACCAGAGTAGGGACTCAGCGGGGGTCGGGGTGGGCTTGATCCTGACCCTGACCCAGGAGGGAAGGGACAGTGGTCTAAGTGGACCTCAGCTGGGGTCGGGGTCGGGTGGGGCTGGTCCTAATCCTGACCCAGGTTGGAGGGGACGGTTGTCTAAATGGAAAGCCTTCCCGGAGGGAATAAGTAATGAAAAGCTCAGATCAGGTGACCGTCTTTGTTTCGATAGAAGTGCTGGCCACTTTTCTTGGATGCAGTGAATCCGCAGTGAAGGTCAGAGGCCTGGGCCAGAGAGAGTGGGGAAATGAAAGTTGGGGTCTCTGAGGCCAGGCCTGTCCACAAGGTTGTAGAGGTTCACTGCACAAGGCAGTGGCTGAGGAGTGAGGGTAAGGGTCTGCACGGCGGCCTGCGCTGTGGCTCCTGAACTGTGCAGGTGTCCTGGTGCTGGCCTCCCTCAGCCAAGGACAGGAGGCCTTCCTCCAGGTCCCCCATGGGCACCCGGCTGGCCGGTGTGGGGGGCATATGTGCGCAGGGGACCCTGTGTCAAAGTCACACCACAGCAGGATATGGCTGTTAACTCTGTGCCAGCACGTGTGCGCTGGTGCTGAGGAAACAGCCCACGTCACAGGGGCAAGAAAACCTCTGATCTCTCTGCAGGTCTCTTAGTGCAAGGGAGCCATGGACAGCGACAGGGAGTCAGCAGACCCCAGCACCCAGAGCTGCCCTGTGCTGCCCATGTTCCACAGCTCTGTAGGGAAGCTGCACCAGCTGCTGGGCAAGGGAGAGTATGCGCTCCTGAAGGACCTCCCCACATTTGAGAGTGACTTCATACAGGTGAAGGGCCATCCCTCTCCTCCCAAATTCATGGTCCAGTCCCCCCGTCCTACCCGATTCACGGTCTGGTCCCACTTCTCCCTGATTCATGGTGCCCCCTTTTGCCCATTTCTCCCCGATGCATGTATGTGCCCCCTCTTCCTCCCTTTCCTTCTTTTCTTCCCACAACAATACTGTAGACCTATTATGTTCTGAGTGTGTAATGATATCTTGAGTGACTTTGCAGGTGGGTAGAGGAGAGTAACTGTTTTTTTGTTTGTTTGTTTTTTTCACTGCATGATTTTTCCAGCATGTTTTATCCAGTGTCACGCTTTGCCGTACATAATGCCCTTATTGTCAGGCAGGTGTTGTCCTGTGTCTGTCCTTACTAAACGCTTAATAACTCTCGGAGATCAGTCCGGTCGTGGGTTTGACAGGTGAACTTGTGCCATGAGGTCCTGCTGGTTGGGCTGTTTGCCATTGCTTTTCCTCCCTCAGGATGTTCTGTAGGAAATCGAGGTTACAGGTCCTGCAATCATGTGTATGTGGTTCTCTCCAGGGTCCAGCTCAGGCTGGTGTCCATCCCCTGTGAGCCTCACAACAATCTACTTATGTCGGCAGCACAAAGACCCCCTTGTCCTGAGAGGCCGACTGAGCCCCAGGGAGTGATGTGACTTTCCAGGTCGTTAGGCTTTCAGCTCAGGGAGTTTCTGGTCTACACAGTTTTCAGGATGGTGGTGTTGGCTGTGGCATCCAGTATGCCCCGGCCATGCAGCATGAGCAACTACACCTGTAGGGGTGAGGCAGGGAAGAGGGTGCAAGGGGACAGGTGCCACCTGACCCGGAGCTCCATGACCGCTCAGCTATGACTCTTGCTCAGCCTTGGTTCTTCCTTGGAGTCCCCCGAAAAGCCTCGGGGACCCCGATGCCGGGTCCCTCCCCCAAGATTTGGGTGCCGTGACTGGGCGGTCTGGGCCGTGGAGCCCCTGGCTACCCAAAATATGAGGGCGGGATTCCAGCCGGTGAACGCACCCAGACTCAAGACGTGGACTGTCCTGCTCGCTCAACCCTTGTTGAGTAAGTGACGACATTTGGCCTCCTTAGCTCTAAATTCTTCCTGAGTCTGCTAAGAACTTGGATGTTTACTTAGGTAACCACGGCCCGATTTCCTGCCCTTTGCCTAGTGGTGTGTGTGTGTGTGTGTGTGTGTTTTCTCAGTCATCCCCATGGTGTTCTCAGCAGCAGGGTTTCCCAGCCCAGATCATGTGTTGCGCTTGACTGTCCCACCTTTAATCCCTTTATGTTTTAGGGTTTCTTGCCTTGGTATTTTTGAGGTGGAAAGCTGTTCTTGGTCTTAATACAATGTCTGTTTCGCGTGAGCCCAGTTGTCCCCACGTTGCGCGGCTGGGACTCGGCCTGCTGAGTTTCAGCCACACACCGAGAGCTGCGGTAGCCGCTTCTCCGAGGAGTGGGGCCGAGGAAGACAGGAGAGAATACACGGCCAAGCCACTGTCCTCTTTCTTCCATCACCACAGGTCAACAGACGGGGAGAGGTGATTGACGTGCACAACACCGTGCACGTGGTGACAGTTGGTGTGGCCTACACCGGCCAGCACCTACCAGTGCCCGATGTGATGCTGCTGGCCCAGCCGGCCACACGTTGTGTGGCCGGTGCTGGTGATGACTCCGACACCCAGAGAACGGACCTCAAGGCAGCAGAGAGCTTGGAACTGACCAGGCAAGTGCGGGAGTTTGCGTCCGTCTGTGTGGGATGTGTGCAGAGTGCGCACGCCCGTCACTCCTTGACCCGCAGCCACGTCAGAATCAGAGGAGGCAATACTGGGCTCAAGGCCAGGAGGACAGTTGGGGGCACATGGCAGCAGCCCTTGCATGGCAGAGTGGGGAGTAGGGGGTTCCTAGCAGGTGGTCAGGAGTCAGCCTGGTGTCCTATGCGGTCCGGCAGGCGAAGGGCTAGCTCCAAATTACGGCGGCATGTCTCAGGAACATGGCTCTGGCAGGAGGGCTGAGCTGGGTGGACAGGATTTGGCAGATCCTTTAGGAAATAATAGATTCTGACAGGGCCGGAAGACTGCCTCCCTGTTTCTTCCCCTTTGTCTCAGCCTAATGCCCCACTTCTTTGCTGCCCAACAGGCTGCTTCCTTTGAAGTTTGTGAAGTTATCCATCTATAATCACGACAAAAAGCAATTCCAGCTGAAGCTTGCCACGGGCCGCTCTTTCTACCTGCAGCTGTGCCCTCCTTCCAATTCGAAGGAAGATGTGTTTGCCTTCTGGGAGGACCTGGTGGGCCTGCTGAGGCCCCCCATGGAGGCGTACAGTGGGACCCAGGCCCAGCCTGTGGGTGACATGGTCTCCATACCCGGGCTGGAGGCAGAGGACAGGAGGAGCTCATCTGTAAGCCTTTGTGTGGACTCTGGGCGGTGGGGCCAGGGTGACTTGGAAGATCAGCGAGGGCCCTTCCAGGCAGCTCTCTGAGACTCCCTGGGAGAAAGCACTGCCTTCGGGAGAGCTCAGGCCCCATTAGGCACCATGCATAGACCTTGCCTTACTGGAAAGGTCCCAGTGCTTGTGAACACCTGTGGCCCCTCACATGCCGGCTCCTCTGATCTCATGGCCGATGAAGCAGTGCCCCCAACAGCACCTCCTCTGCCCAGTCCACCCTGGACCAGTTGCTACCGCAATCCAGGCCAGCGCGTGTGTCGTGGGACACTGGCAAGCGTGTGGCAGTCGTTCCTTAGCTGGAGCCATACACGGAGCTCTGTTCATGAGCAGCATGGCAGGTGTGCACAGCGTGTGCTCTGTATGAGAGTATACACTGAGCACGGCTCGGCCAGCAGTCTCCCCCCAACCCACCCCAGAATCTGTTGTGCAGAAATGCTAAGACGAGTGTGTCAAACGGCCCTTTGAGGGTGCCATCTGAATGGGGGGAGTGCCCTCCTGGCAGCACAACTGTGTCTGCACAGAACTCGAGTGACCATGGTGGGGGTGCTTTGAGGCCTCCCTGTGGGCAGGGCCTCCCTGCTCGAATGGCCTTCCTGCATGGCCTTCCTGCACCACCTTCCTGTGCCACAGCCTCCCTGTGGGCACAGCCCCCCTGCCCCCATGGCCTCCCAGCGCTCCTGCCTCCCTGCGTGCACCAGACTTGAGGACCCCACAGGTTCTCCCAGTTACAGCCCTGCAGTAGCTTAGCTTAGGTGATCATCCCTCCTCCCCTCACTGTCTTCTCCAATTCCCTGTTTCTTCTCTCGACACAGGCCATGGAGCTCCACAGACAAGGGGACCGAGATCAGGTCAACAGCAGCAGCCTTTCCGTGCTCAGCGATATGTCCCTGGCTGCCTCCCTGGCCTATATGGGTGGGGAAGGAAACCGAGTGCAGGCCTCGTACTGTCTGCACAGGAACACGCCGTCTGTCCTTAGCCCAGCACCTCCAGAGATGGATCGCGGGGTGACCCCGGGGGCAGCAGGAACTCTGCAGGCTAGCATGAAGGGGGCCTCAGTTGGGGGCACAGACAGGAGCCCTGTTGGCAACACCGCAGACGGTTCGGACGCAGGACCCTCTGTCTGGGCCGATCCCGATGAAGGCAGCACAAGCAAACCAGATGGACACCAGAGACTCTCGCCGGTCCAGGCCAAAGCCCCGAGGACGAGTAAGGACAAGGAGAGAATGCCCACCGAAAGGCTTTACCTTCTTAGCAGGATATGGGAAAACACATCATTCCTGAAGTCACAGGGAACCCCGTGGGGAGACAAAAGGGAGAATCAGGGCAGCCTCAAGGAGCGAGGGTGTGGCTCCCTGCTGCAGGAGTACATAAGCCTCAGCCTCTCCCAGAAGGGGTCCAGGTGGGTGGTCCGACTTCCCTTACCTCCTGCTTAGAGTGTTTCCGTTTTCAGAGGAGGGGAGCACTGTCTTCACCCCCCACCCTTAGGACCGTGCCCTCCAGTAGAAGGGGTTGCACACTGTTTCACTCACCCTTCACACTTGCTGTAGACCATTGCACATGCTGAACCCTGGGTGGCGCAGGCAACGGGCAGGGCAGACAGAAAGGGGTGGTGTGAGCGTGATAGGGTTGGGCTCTGAGGATAGGGACATGCTTGGCCCCTCAGGAAGGAAGCTGAAAGGCATGCTTCTTACCTGGTCGGTGCCATCCTGTGTGCATACACCTGATCCTCACAACCAGAAGCAGTACTGCTATTGAGCTTGGTTTTGCAGAGGAAGGAGCTGGGGGCTCTGAGGCCAGGAGTGATTTGGACAAAGATACACTCAGAGGTTACTGTACAGTGTCTTTCTTGCAGCTGAACTGTGTTTTTCCTCAGCACTTGGGGATGATTCTGATTACTCATTTCAAAGACAAAAATGCATACTCTTAAAAAAAAATCAAGACTTGTCGAAAAATTGGCAAACAATAGTACAGTTTCCATAGATTTCTCCTCCAGCCCCCTTTCATAGTAAACTGTCAGATACGTAATAGTGACTCAGATAAACACTTGGATTGCATTGGCATTTTGTTTCCAGGATCCCACACTGCATTTACTGGTTATTTCTTTGCAAAAACCTAGTTTCCCCTAGTTGTTTGCCCCCCCTCATTTTTAACGTTCATAAGTGGATTTTGTCTGTACCCATTATGCTTGTGGTATTTCCCTAATGAATTTATGTTTCCCTGATAGCCTCTGTCTGTATTAATTGGAATCCACTGTTAGGAAGCAGTATGCTTTCCCCCTCATTTATGTTTTTATTCCATTATTTATTTATGACATGGATATTTAGTCTATGGGTTTTAATCAACTTTTCTTTTTGTGCTTTGATTATTCTAACTAAGATCAGTGCAAACTCCTTTATGTTGTTTCCTGAGTTCCTTCGACAAGCCCCACCTTTTCTTTTAGCATTTCTGGCACATCCATTTGTTCAAAAGTCATATTTTCCCCATCCCAGCTCTGTAATCAACTGCTTCCCCAGGGAGTCCCAGCTCTTTTTATTGGAAAATGTCATTTATGTAACTAAATGTTGTCACTACGTGGTACTTGTTATGACTAGCTTTGTTCTGTTTTGTTTTGCAGGTTATCTCAAAAATTGAGGAGGAGCTTGTCTAGGACGAGGTCAGGTAGGGTGCCATAATCCAGGGGTTGGTTTCCTTGTCCCAACCCCTCTTGTGCAGCTTCGCCTGGTCTCCGAGGCAACACACATTAGCCATTCATGGAACTCAAGGATATCAACTAGAATGGATCTCAGATGTCAACACCATTCACCCACCCACTTCAAAGATAGGGAAACATAATTTTCTCAAAGTGGGTCAATTTATTCCTTTCTTGAAACAATTAAATGCCTAGTACATGCCCTGTGATAATACCTGGTATATATAAACAGTTGGGCAGAGTGGGGGTACATGCCCAGATGCAGTCTCACAGGGTGGAGACCGCTGGGGGAGTTCAGGACGCTCACAGCTCAGGGTAATTGGACAGGAGATGCAGGGGGCAGGATCCACTCAGGTAGTCATGGGACACGACCTACAGAGATGTAGGGCACAAAGGAGGGACTTGTCCACACCTCTGCTTAGAATGGCCACTGCCTGAGTACGTATGGGAAAACTGGAATCAGAGAAACCCATTGGGACTCTGGCCACGTAGGGGAGAGATAGATGATAAAAGCCCCGAACAACAGGCACGTAGAGGGGACATGAGCATAGACCCCAGAGAACATGGGAACGATTAGATGAGTGAGGGATGATCAAGAATATGAAATGACACATATTCTCTTGGGCACGGAGATGGTAGTGCTGTTCATACATGTGGGGGGCATAAAGAAGGATGAGCAAATACAGTATTAATTAACTGACTTGGCCTTTGTATTTCAAGGTGTTCCAGTTTGATAAGACAGTATCTGATCATTCATCATTTTTTTTAAGACTTATGTATTTCTTTTAGAGAGAGCAAGCAGGGAAGGGCAGAGAGACAGGGAGAGAGAGAACCCTAAGCAGATTCCCCACTGAGCATGGAGCCTGACGGTTCTCTGATCTCATGACCCTGAGAGTAGGACCTGAGCTAAAACCAAGAGTTGGATGCTCAACCAACAGAACCACCCAGATGCCCCTGATTCATTATTTTTTAAGTAAACATTGACTTTGTGCCTACTATGTGTCCGTTTCTTTGCTCTGGACAGGGTAGGGTGAGTGGGGTGTGCAGCCTGGTGAACCAAAGCCATAGGGAGTGTGAAGTCTTTGTAGGGAGATGAGCTGTGTTAAGGGTAGAAAGACTGCAGCTTGGGGCAGAATATGAGGGATACTTTTCCAGTACCACAGCTTACGGGAGAAGAGGGAACATCCCAGAGACAGTCACTAGTTGAGTTTGGCTGCAGTGTAGCATGGCCATGAAAGAGATGGTAAGATTGTGAAATGGGTGGGTCCATATTGCCACACCTGTCAAATACCACACTTAGAAGTTTGTACTGATTTGGGGGCCTTTTGGTTTTGTGTGTTTTTTTCGTTTTTGGCAACAAATGATATGATCAGTAGGCTTTTGAACCAGAATCCATGAGTGAATTAAGTGAGGGTCAAAATTAAGAATCTCTTTCTTTCCTCATTGTCTGTGGGAAATCTTCATGGTGTACCATCCTTACTCATTTCCAGGATCCTGAAATTGAACTCTCCATATGGTTTTCTGTTCAGACCTTCAAGCTCTCTATAATGCACAGACTGCATTACGAGTGTCTGAGAGTTGAAGTTTCAGTGAAACAGGCTCTTTCTAATAAATGATAAAGCCCACAGTAGGTCAGGTAGGAGCAGAGTGGAGGAGGGTAGTGGAGGAGGCTCTCATGCTGTCAGCAGGGTGTGCTGAGGACATCACTGGTACCCTAGCATTTGTGACCAGGGAGGCCATCTATAGCCGTGGAAGACCATTACAAGAGACTGGTCATGGGGAGCAAGCTACTTCCGGAGAGCTTCCTTTTTGCGTTGAATAAATAAGACTTGCCTTTTCACAATAAAACGCTATTGTTTCTTTCATTTACATGTTCCATGGAAATGACCTCAGAAGATTTTGTGACATCAGGTAAGCTGTAGCCTGAGACCCTAGCTTCCTTCCTAGCTCTGCTCACACCTTTGCTCAACGGAGCCAATGGGAGTAGTACCTCTTGCCTTAAGCCCTGTCTGCCTTTGGTTCCTTGGGCTGTCCTCAAAGTCACATTCTGTTGGCTGGGAGGCACTCCATTTCTCCATCCTCATTCCCTTCCCTCTGAAGGTCAACCATCAGAGATGTTACATCCATTAGACTAAGGAGGGGTGGGGCTTGTGTCCACTCAGGATATTCATGGGCAGGGGAGGAAGAGCACAGCTACATCTTTCAGTAAGAAGAAGAACAACAACCATCTGGAGTGAGCAATTTCACATCCAGGTCAATACCCTGAGGAAACTCCTACTTGTGTTGCAGAAGAAAACTGAGAATTCTGGAACAAAGCACAGGAAATAGCTCCCATGTTCATCAAATGAAGAGTTGATAAGTTAGGGTATATAGGTACAGGGGGTTACTGCACCATATGGGCAGCTATGCACATTGGCAGGGATGAATGGCACTGTGGAATAAAAGAAAAGTCAAAAATAAGAATTTCATTTACAGAATGGCTTGAAAATGAGAGAAAATGAGATATGACTGCATATTGGGTTGTTTCTCTTGAGAAAGTTATCTCTGTGGTGCAAAAGAGGCATCCTGGGAAATATACATGAGAGACCCAACATTGCTGGAAATCGTCCTGTTTCATAAATAAGGTTTTGGATAGACAGATACTTAATTTTCATATTTTAACATCTCTGAAAGGATGATCCCTAGGTGATATTTGTTATCATTGCCTTAGAAATAAATGATTTATTTTAGCAGCTTTGGTTTTCATGTAGTTACAAAAGTAATATGTGTCAAAAATTAGACTGAAGGATAACTTTTAAAGAGTATGGAATACAAATCAGTAACAAATCATTGTATTAGTTGGCAACATTTTTTCTTTGTTATGATGCATAAAATAATATCTTTTGAACTGATAGTATTATCCTTCAAGTGAAATACTGATTTTTACTTTAATCTATACATGTATTTTATATATATATATATATATATACACACACACACACACACACACACACACTTTATTGCATATATGATATATTTTATGGTAAAGAATCTGTTGTCTGTCTTCCTACCTTCATCTGTGTACAGATACAGATACCTTTAATTTAGGACCATGGGACTGGGAAATATGAGAGATTGAGGCAGAGACTACTAGTTCTCTACTCATTGTCCATTCTTATTTTCCCTGCTAATGACCTTAATTTAATTGGGAACAAGACTCCCCACGCCCACAATAGCCTTGGCTTCTTACTGCCTGAGGACAATTAGAGAAGGACGCATAATTTATTAATATTACTGGTAGATGTACCACTTTGTTGAGATGAACCTCTTCATTTTCCATGACGTTTTGAAATTATATTTTAATGACCTATATTAACTATCTTTTTTTTTTTTTGAGATGTTAAGATTTTCCATTTCCTTTTATTTGTCAGACACTGTGGCATTATATTCTGATTAACGGAGTAATATGGGATTCCAGATCTTGAATACATCCTATGGATAAAGCTGATTATTGGGTTTTTATATAACCTGGATGGGTTCAGCCATAGGTCCTACCTGCCCCCTCTGGGTTTTGCTTTGCGCCTCAATGCGATTTTAAAATATTTCTGGTGTGGTTGTTATCTATCCCACACAGGCATTAGTGTGGATGGTTTGGAGTCTCTGTGGCAGTTTAATGCACACTTTTGTCCTCAAAGATTTGGATGTGCTCTTTACTTTTAAATTCAGGCATCTGCAGCCTAGATAGGAGCCTAGTTTATATACAAATTCATGGGATTGCTTACGTATCTCAGCTATGTCTGCAACATTTTTATGTTCCAAGGGGGTCTTTTCCTCGTCTTCTTACTAGTCATTGGGACTTAGTTACCTTGCTCTGATGGGCACTTCCCACAACTATGTCTGTCTCCCTGAATGAAAGACCAACAGGAATGCTTGCTTCCCATATGATTGGGATCAGAGAGCCTGTAGTCAAAGAGAAGTGTTCTTCTTGGATCCCATTTTATGTGCACTGTTGGCACTGGTGCTACAGGATTGCCTAGGCTCTGGGACAGAACAGAAAAAAGAGAGAAAGAATTTCCACCACTCACTCTGACCTGAAAAGTACTGTATTTTACTTCTCGGTACAGAAGTGCATAGCTTCTCTTAGACTTCTGTCTGTCGGTTGTCAATGTGAAGTTCTGGGTTTCAGGCTTCTTTTGAGTACAGGCTAAGAGAAACCAGAAGATTAAAATAATATAATAATAATAATAATAATAATAATAATAAAATAAAAAAGCAAATATTTGTTAGGTGGTACTTCAATATATATTTTCCTTAAGCATTTCATTGTGTAGCTACAAAATAAATAAAATTTATAAAACCACTGTGACAGTTTTATGCCAATAAAGTTAACAGTGATTCCTTAATATTTTAGTAACTACTTAAATTTTCTTAATCATATCATGGTATTTTCAGTAGGTTCATGGTAAATAAGATCAAAACTGGATCAATGCCTTTTATTTAGCTTATATTTCACTTAATTTTATGGTAAAACGTATTTGTAAGTAATCTATGAAAAATGGAGAAAACTATGTATTCTGCCATTGCTTTGTGCAATGTTTTCTAAGTATCAGAATTTTGTGTAAATCTACAGCATCTTCACTGACTTTCATCTTTGTACTCTTACCAATTGATAGAGATTGGAATATTTGGCTGTAATCATAGATATGTCTGTTTTGCCTTCCAGTTCCATCAGTTTTGTGTTTTTTGTTTTGTTTTGTTTTGTTTTGTTTTCTGTTTCATTTTGTTTTACCTCCATGTAATTTGAAGCTTGTCTATTTGATTCATAAACATTTAGGATTGCTCTCTTTTTTGGGATAAATTATTCCTTTGATGATTTAAAATGGCCCTCTTTATTTCTGATGATATTCTACACTCTGAAATCTGATTTTCCAGATGTGAATAGAGCCAGACCAGCTGTTTGGGTATTAGTATTAGCATGGTATATTTTCCCATCCTTTTAGTAAGTTTGTTTCTCCACAGTGAGTTTCGTATAGACAGAATATAGTTGGGTTATGTCTATTTGTTGATTTTATTTATTTTATTTTTTAAACTTTTTTTTCCCTTAATATTTGCCTATCTATTTGAGAGTGAGCAAAGAAGTAGGGGAAGGAGGCAGAGGGAGAGCAAGAATCTTAAGCAGACTCCTCACTGAGCACAGAGCCCAGAGCAGGGCTCCATGACATGACCCATGAAATTGTGACCTGAGTCGAAACCAAGAGTCAGAGGCTTAAACAACTGAGCCACCCACGAACTCCAGATCATGTTTATGTTTATTTTTATCTAATTTAACAATTTTTTTTTTGAGGGAGAGGGACCAGGGAGGAAGGGACAGAATCATAAGCAGTTTCCACACTGAGATCATCTCAGTCCCAGATCCCTGAGATCATGACCTGAGCTGAAATCAAGAGGTGGGCACATAACTGACTGAGCCACCCAGGGGTCTTTTAGTTGAGTCACTTGGGCCACTTCTATTTAGTTTATAAGTGATATATTTGCACTTAAATGTACCACATTTATATATATAATCCATTTGACCTATGTGTTTTGTGTTTCCTTTTTTATCTATTATTTTGGCCTCATTTTTCATTAAATATTTTTGTGTAATTATATTTTATTGCCTGATAGATTCTTAAGTAAAATGTTTATAGTACACATATTTCCTCCATCATAGTCTAATTTCAAGTGATACTATGGTACTTCAGTTACAGCTAAAAACCATGCAGAAATTTACATCCATTTCCCCATCTTCTAGATTTTGCACTATACTTGATATACATTTCCCTTTCACTTAAGTTAGAAAAACACATCACTGCTATGTTACTCATTTTTTGTTAAGCTTCCATTATTTTCTGAAGATATGTAAATATTAAAATATTGTTATCTCTACTTTTCTTGTTTTTCATCTTTTCTTTTTGTAGATCCTGATCTCTATCTGCTAGTTTCCTCATAATCAGAGAACATCTTTTATTGGTTTTCTCAAATTGACCTCATTGACATTTATTAAATATTCCATTCAAGGACAACTAAATGCACATTCACCTCAAGTGCACATAAAACATTTAATAAAATAAGCCTATTTTTTCCTCAGGTTTTTATTTAAATTCCAGTTAGTTAACATAGAGTGTAAAATTAGTTCCTGGTGTACAATACACTGATTCAATACTTCCATACAGAACCCTATGCTCATCACAAGACCCTGCAATTGCACTACTGGGTATTTACCCCAAAGATACAGATGTAGTGAAAAGAAGGGCCATCTGTATCCCAATGTTTATAGCAGCAATGGCCACGGTTGCCAAACTGTGGAAAGAACCAAGATGCCCTTCAACGGACGAATGGATAAGGAGGATGTGGTCCATATACACTATGGAGTATTATGCCTCCATCAGAAAGGATGAATACCCAACTTTTGTAGCAACATGGACGGGACTGGAAGAGATTATGCTGAGTGAAATAAGTCAACCAGAGAGAGTCAATTATCATATGGTTTCACTTATTTGTGGAGCATATCAAATAGCATGGAGGACATGGGGAGATGGAGAGGAGAAGGGAGTTGAGGGAAATTGGAAGGGGAGGTGAACCATGAGAGACCATGGACTCTGAAAAACAATCTGAGGGTTTTCAAGGGGCAGGGGGGATGGGAGGTTGGGGGAACCAGGTGGTGGGTATTAGAGAGGGCACGGATTGCATGGAGCACTGGGTGTGGTGCAAAAACAATGAATACTGTTATGCTGAAAATAAAAAGAATTAAATTTAAAAAAAAAGTGCATTCCTTAAACCCTATCACCTATTTTTAAAAATATTTTATTTATTTTAGAGAAACAGAGTGTGAGAGAGAGCACAAGCAGGGGCAGGGAGAGAGGAAGCAACAGACTCACCACTGAGTAGGGAGCCTGATGTGGGGCTTGATCCCAGAACCCTGGGATCATGACCTGAGCTGAAGGCAGAAAACAGAGTGCCCCCCCCCATCACCTATTTAACTCATCTCCCCACCCGCCAGCCTTCCAGTAACTCTCAGTTTGTTCTCTATAGTTTAGAGTCTATTTCTTAGGTTGTCTTTCTCTCTTTTTTCCCCCTTTGCTCATTTGTTTTGTTTTCTAAATTCCACATATGAGTGAAATCATAGTATTTGTTTTTCTCTGGCTAACTTATTTTGGTTTTCCTAATATTCTCTAGTTCCATCCATGTCCCTGCAAATGGCAGGATTTCTTTTTTTTTTTTTTACCTTTTTTTTTTTTAAGATTTTATTAATTTATTTGACAGAGAGAGAGATCACAAGTAGGCAGAAAGGAAGGCAGAGATGGGGGGGAAGCAGGCTCCCTAGTGAGCAGAGAGCTCCATTCAGGGCTCAATCCCAGGACCCTGGGATCATGACCTGAGCTGAAGGCAGAGGCTTTAACCCACTGAGCCACCCAGGCGCCCCACT